GGGGGTTAAGGAGAAAAGAAATGGGCCTAACGTAAAAAAAGCCCCCTATAAACGTCCAGTGCACACTGTACGTACAGTGCGTCAGGAAGCAAAGCCTGTGTTGAAAACAACCTTCAGAAACCTCTAACTGAGAAACAAAACAAAATGACTTCTTCGGTGTTGGTGGTGGCTTCTGTTAATCTCTTCACAAATTATAGCAAAAGAACACCCCCGCCTGTCTCTTTTTTTTCTTTCTCCTCACTTGTTGATTTTGTTCTCTTCGACCAGCACTCTGTAGGTAGAGAGCTAATGACTGCAACGACGACGACAACAGCAACAACAACAACAACAACAACAACAACAACAGCAACAACAACACACCATCATAATGTAGCAGAACAATATAATGCCCAAGCAATGTACTTCAGTCCACGATAACTTACCCGAGTATCCGTAAATGTGGAGTTTGAAAGCATCGTCTTCCCCGTCCAGCCAGAAGTGATCGTATGTAGCCGTCTTATGGTTGCCCTCCCAGTCCTCAAGCGAGACACCCAGGGAGTACCTCTTTTGGTTAGTGATATAGTGAACAACTTCGTTGCCAAGATAGTGCTCGCCCCTCGTTCCTGTTGATAAAAGAAGCGTCCTTTCTTTCATTGCTGTGGTGATTTTTCAGTGTTCCATGTGGGACACTAAAGCCTCGGTTACACGCAACGATAAATTGTGTCAGATTCGTCGTATGCGAGAACTGTCCGTTTTATCGAGTTGTGTAGTCTGTTTAGACGTTCCAGTCTATCGTCCAGTTTTCTTTCGATTAGGGAGATTCCTAGTCATTGACTTGACTGCAGATGTGCAACGCACCGAGTGACCTTGATACACAACTTCACCATTGACGATCAACTAAATAATAAAATTGCTGAAATGTACATTATAACGCATCTAATCAGGTTCCTCGAGAGCAGCTTCGCCTATTTTGAGATGCTGATTCCGAATATGAAAAAAGTTGTTACCTGCGATAATTATTTTTAAAATCTGAGCCCTAAGTTTAATCCTGCGCAGTGGCAAATTTTAAAGTGATTCTTCGCATGTGTCCAGCAATTCTGACCGTGATCGCACGGAAAATACCAAGCAGCGCTTGATCTCTCGACTAAGTCTCCAAGCCATCGTCCAATCGTCCAAACTTTGTACAATTTTGTGGTTACACCTGACGATTTGTCTCATGATCGATAGATCGTCCAGTTTTTGTACAATTTATCGTTGCATGAAATCGGGGCTTTTGCCTTGTACCCGACCCGAACCCGAACCCGAACCCGAACCCGACCTGTCCCGATCTGACCAAGCAGACCGGGTCCATTTGATACCGTGTGCCCATTGGGGGATCAGTCCTGAACACTTTTCTATATCAATTTTCTCTGCACTAATACTATGACAACGAAGGGTTGAGTTCGGAATACATGCAAGTTTATTATATATACTCTGATGCCAAGCCTTGTGAGCTTTATGCAGAAATAACACTCACCACCAAATCCATCCTTGTACTGTTGGTAATCTCTATAGAAATCCTCTTGACCATCCTCTCTCCTCAGTAGGACAGTCCACCCGCCTGCCTCCATGTTGCAGTAGACGGATACGTACATGCCCAGGCCGATTACAAAAATTCTCCCCATACCATTTCGAGTCTGTCCTTTCTTGTAGAGGTCGTAACAATCTGGTCCGAAAGAAATATATAGCCTATTAGTTTAATTTCACGTTGTGTTTGGGGGGTTGAGGGTGCTGATGTGGAGAAATGAGGGTGAAAAAAGAGAGGAGGGGGGAGGGAGTATTTTTGATTTGTGCTTATATTTTTTAACTCAATCCAACTGCTCC